TCAGCTTTTAAATTTTGTGCGCGAGTCATTTTTAGTTTGTTGGAAAAGACACACCCCCCTGGTTCACAAAATTTGAGTTCGAGAAATTTTTTTCATTATTTTACATTATAAGTACCCAAAGAAGCTATATATATAAAAAACAGATACAAATAGCTGTTTTGCGAAATTGAGAGCAATTTTAAATCTGTTCAGTTTTTTTTGATACACCCTGTATATATATATATATATATATATATATATATATATATATATATATATATATATATATATATATATATATATATATATATATATATTAGTTGTGTAATTGTACACTCTGTAGCTCAGTAGGTAGAGCGTCGATCTAGTAATTCGAAGGTCGCGGGTTCGAGACCCAGCCGCGGCAGACAACATCTTTCTGCTTGCGCTGGGTATGGAAATTATATAATACACGCTCTAGAACATTTTCATCTTAACATATTACAGAGTGTACAACTACGCAACTAACATATATATATACATATATATATATATATATATATATATATATATATATATATATATATATATATATATATATATATATATATATATATATATATCGTATATATAATTTATGTGTCCCACATCCATCATCTCATTGTTGGTTGTATAAATACTTTTCGGATGAAAAGCTCACTATCAGCCACACTGCGCTGACGAGCCCCAAAAGGGCGAAACAGCTGTCCGCAGTTGCTGGTAGTGAGCTTGGGGCACAATTGTCATTGCCTATAGGCCTTTGCGCTGATTTAAATCTGTGACATGCAGAGATCATGCGTATTAGGTTGAATGGCGTTCTTGTCGTATATATAATTTATGTGTCCCACATCCATCATCTCATTGTTGGTTATATATATATATATATATATATATATATATATATATATATATATATATATATATATATATATATATATATATATATATATATATATATATATATATATATATATATATATATATATATATATATAATTCTTTAATCTTAAAATATATTAGTCGCTACACTGTGTTTCACGCTTTTTTCAAAGCGATCTTCAGGCGAATTCGTGATTCGCCTGAAGATCGCTTTGAAAGAAGCGTGAAACACAGTGTAGCGACAAATATATTTTAAGATTAAAGAATTATTTAAGCTCTATCGTGTATTGGTATTGAGCACTCTTCGTTCAATTACGGACAACAAGAATTAATTATATATATATATATATATATATATATATATATATATATATATATATATATATATATATATATATATATATATATATATATATATATATATATATACCGGGTGTCCCAAAAAAAAGTACTCCGGTTTGATTTATAATAACTTCTAAACAATTAAAGCTATCAAACAGAAATAACTTGCATTAAATAGAGGAAGGACTAACTTAGATTTTGATATATTACAGTTGTATTTTACTTAAAAATTCACGGAGATATTAATGTTTAAAATCGGGAGCATATTTTGGTATGTGTCTAAAATTAGCGAAAATCGGCATATCAAATATTAACTCCAGCGTTTGTTTGCTTAATGACATATCAGGCTAACTGGTATTTCAGCGAATTGTCGTTAGGGTTTGTAAGGGATATATGGCGTAGATTAAGACATCTTACATGTAAGTCTTAGCTCATTGTTTCCTGAAATATGAACGTTCAAAATTATGAAAGTATTTAATAGGTCTTTGGCTTTGCAAACTTAAAGGTACATGAAAGACCTTGAAGGCAGGCGCTTAAATTTTTCTTAAATAGCCTAATTTTTTTATGTTTTACATGGGTTCAAAACAAAGTTGATTATTTCTCGGTTAGAGCAGGATGAATATTATTATTTAATAAAGGAAATAATATTGCTTTTTGCAAATACACATCACAGTATCAACGCTACTATTTTGTTACGTTTTGTTCCAAAAATGTTGGATGTCTCTGGGGAGTTGCTTGTTATGTCTTTAATTATGGAGTTGTATGGTTATCGTGTTTCATTCTCAGTTTATTCTGAACTTGCCAAGATTAAGAAAGGCAAAAGAGTTTGGGTGTTCTTAACACGATTTCAGAACGTTGCAGAAGTTAGAAAATTCACAATTCCATTGTGACAGCATGCCCTAATTCAGAACTACGAACGATCCATGGCGATCCTTCGCTATACAGTGGTCTCATGAAATAAGGAAACGTTTTCGTGCTAGGAACACACGCGGGTTGCGGACGAATAAATCTTGTTTGTATTTTATAGATAATAATACTTTGTTTCATAATAAACAATTTGTCAAGTGTCACTTATATTTACTGGTAATAGTGCATGTTTCAGTCGGGAAAATCTTGATTAGTATTTGATACGCCGTTTTTTGCATATTTCAGACACATCCAGAAATATGCTCCCGATTTTAAACACTAATATCTCCGTGAATTTTTAAGTGAAATACAACTGTAATATATCAAAATCTAAGTTAGTCATTCCTCTATTTGATGCAAGTTATTTCTCTTTAAAAGCTTTACTTGTTTAGAAGTTATTACGAATTAAACAGGAGTACTTTTTTTTGGGACACCCGGTATATATATATATATATATATATATATATATATATATATATATATATATATATATATATATATATATATATATATATATATATATATATATATATATATATATATATATATATATATATATATATATATATATATTTATAATATAGTCATTCACGGTATATGAGCTGTTCTGCAATCTAATTGGTTGAATTACTCGCCGTATATCAGCTCATATACGGCGAGTAGCGAAAAACAAGATGGCGGTCCAAAAACTACATGAATTTTGCGAAGCAGAAAAAAGGAAAATATTCGCTTTGAGAAAGATAATAGTACAAGGAAAAACTCTCAAAAAAATTTGACAGGTTAGCAAAATACATTTATTACATAGAAATTAGTTTAAATACAAGTTTTTTAAAGAATTAATACCGAAACAACAGCGAAAAAAACATGTTCATTAAGAATATAAATTGTTCAGAAAAGTTTGCAACGAAAGACAAATGAATTTGCAGTCAACAAGCACTTACTATACTACCAAACATCTATATAATATATCTGAGCTTTTCTGTGAGATATACCGGTTCTAAAACCATTTCTGTCACTTCGTCTTCGAGTTGTAAAACAAAAGTACATATTTTTAAAGCCAAGCGGTTTTTTGCCGAACAAATTGTCAAGACATTGTAACAGAGGATAATTAATTATTGCTTCAGTTAATGGATATTAGACTATATTATAAAACAATTATACCATTCGCTCTCGTCGTATATGGCTGATAGCCGACTCGGTGCTATATATATATATATATATATATATATATATATATATATATATATATATATATATATATATATATATGTATATATGCATATATATGCCTATATATATATATATATATATATATATATATATATATATATATATATATATAT